AAGTAGGGTGGGCACGCCGCATTTTTTGAACAGAAATGTATGTAAGTGGGACTGCTGCCGCTACTATACTGTCACGAGAATCGGGGAATTCGTGAGCCAGGGGGAGTGTAGCCAATCTAGGGGGTGGGGGGTGAGGGCAGTCACTTGACATGCGTGAAAAGCTGGGCGTGCCCACCCCACTTGTATAGCACCCGGTCATCTATCCTTCAGCGCTAATTCGGCCCAGTATGCCATCAGCTGATGGCTCTAATCCGACATCCCCGTCCCCGTGCTTTCGCAGACCGTATCTCGCCCGGTGACTATGGTAACCCCGAGCACGTTTCGGTAGAGCAAAACAGGGCCGATCGATTTTACGACGGCCATCCATAGCTATTCTAATTAGCAGTCTGCATGTCACGAATAACAATTATCGCCCCACCCTGCCATGCAACGCGCACACGCTCGGCCCGGCCGCTGGCCGCCCCGTGTGACGCTGAAGTGAACCTGGGCAGGTCGACGACCCCGATTAGTGCCACAAATCACCTTTTATAGAGGTTTTATCCAGGGCGACCAAGTAGAGTTTGTTCCAGCTGTTCAAGCCGAGCGACGTCCCGTGCAACAGATCTGCGCCGACAGCCCACCAACCATGGTGCAGAGTCACAACGCCTCGGCAAACACCACGGTTAGTGAAATTTTCACTGCAGCAAGTATTAACGAGTCGATTAGATTTCCTATTTTCACCCATAAAAATTGGTTACAAGTGATAAAAATATTTTTTCTTGATTTCTTAAATTTGAGAGTTTCCGCTTTTGAATTTCGAAAAAAAAATTCAGAAAACTATAGCTTCTCCAGGTTCTACTGTAGCCACGGTGATCTGGCTATTCTTAGTAGCTGTTTTTACTCGTATGACTCAGGCTCCAGGAGGTGGATCCAAGACTGCATTTGTAGGCTAAGCCAGGATTGGTAATTGGAGGGATAAGGGTTGGGATCAAAACATCCCCCTACTTGCTGGCCTTTTAGAGTTGGAAGTGTATTAGTGAGGATCAGGATCACAAGGAAGGGTTACGAGGCGGAAGTCTCAAGGAAATCCTCTCAGAAGTGACACTTGCCTGGACACTAATGTCCACAGGTGGAAGAACTGGGTCAGAGTGCGGCGGTGATGCAGGAGAGCTGGGGAGGGGGTCCTACAATGGGTTTCTTAAATCCTTTCTGATATACATGGCATGGCACTGAGATGCCGTTCAGTTCTCCTCCTTAATTCAAGCCACCTAAAATTAAGACACCACTCATTTGCTATGGAAGCAAGCCTAGGACTAACGTAAGCCTAGGTCCAACCATAGGCTTCACCATAGCAGAGGCCTTAGCCTAAGCCTAAACTCGAGGATAACCTCGAGCTGCGTAGCACTGATGGCCTGACCTAGGAGGAGAACTGAAGGTCCTCTGATTCAAGAGATGACCAAAAAAGTCAATGATGTGAGAAGGTGATGCAGTGGGTCGGAGGTGTGCGATTCCATGAACTTCCATTCCAACTGAAGTTTCTCGGAAGGAAAGAGAATTGGGGGGTTTTTCTTTCTTCCTGGGCTGTGGCGGAGTGGCTAGATCGAAAGGAAAACAAGGTCATATTCCCGGTACAAGTGGTGGTTAGTGGGAAGCAGGGCCGTTTGCATTATTCGAACGGGGGGGGGTCGCACGCATTTGGGGTTGAGTAAGGTCAACTACCTCTGGGAAAGTGCGAACTTATAAAATCGTGAAAATGGTGTTGTTTTCGACGGGTTTTACGACGATTTTGGCAAAATTTTATGAAAATAGCGTAAATTGAAGTTGAAGGATTTGCATAGCTCATTTAGCTCTCCCCTCTATCCCTTCCCACTTCCCCACTTGACGTCCCGGGAAAAGTGGGCGGAGTTGACTGGTTCCAGAATCAAATGTTATAGAAACAGCCAACCATGATGGCGTGGATAGCGGTGGGTTTAGGGGAGGGGTGGGGGTTATTGGGAGAGGCGCCTAGGACCGGCGGTGCTTCTGGGGAGCCGCATCGAGATCTCCTTTAAAAAAAGGGGAGGGTGGTCGCAAAATTCCTGGGTGCGAACGCGATGGTTGACCCTGGGGGAGTACGGTAAAATGGCTTCTTACAAATTTGTTTTGTCACAAATTGACGATTTTTGTAGTCGCACTATAAGGACAGCTCATAAAAAGTTCAAAAAAAATCTGTCAGGCGTTGGACTCCAATCCGCTGATGAACGGACTGCTGGCAATCGTAAAGAACGAGCACGAGCAACTTTTGGAGTGTGACAAAGCGATGATGACCGTCAAGAAAGAAGAGGGCGCCAGCTCGCCGATGAGTGCCATGGCGAGGCCGATGAGCGCCAGTCCCACTGTCGACTTCAGTGTAAAAAGGGTACGACAGGACAGATTCTGACGTTGTATATTCTCTTGAAATTATCCTTTCCCAGGAGTCGGTCGGAGAGGACGAGTGCGGCATCGATGTGATGACTGTGATCGGTATGGGACCGTCCGAATCGCCATCATCCTCCGGAACGGCTTCATCGGTCAGCGAAGACGGGCCCATCTTCAACATTGAGGTATGTTCCAGTGTTTTGCTTAATGGGACGCTTATGTCGTTAGGGGGGGGGACATTGAAATCAGTGAACCACTTATATATCTTGGAGTTAAGCCTTAGGGATTGGAGGGGATTCTGGGGGAGGGCAAGAGCAACCTTTGCTCTTTCTGGCGTTTCTCCCCTCTCCTGGGCTCATGTTTAGTCTTAGTGTTACCAAACAGCGGCTTTTAAATG